CCTGACTGAATCACTCTATCAGAAGTCCTTGATACGGTTTTTTCTACAGATGATAATTCAACTGATCCTCCTTTCATCAGACTATTCGAAATCAAACTTCTAGTCTTCAAACCCAGACGATGTTATTTTACTACTCAAGAAATTCGGAAGGTCTTACGCAACTCCCTAATAAAGCGCGCACCGGGTCCAGATGGTGTTGACTATCGTATGTCAAAATTGATATTAGCCCAATCCATCTCTTCCAAAGCCTGGTAATAAGCTATTCAATAGTGGAACTTTTCCCCAATGTTTTAAAATTGGCAGTGATCTTATTTTAAAAACACCGTGATCCCAGCCGTGCGATTCTTATCGCCCTATTTGTTTGTTGTCAGCTTTTGGCAAAACTTTTGAAAAACTTCTTATGGGACGATGGAGATTTCATTTGCACTCAACAAATTATCTGTGTCCTTTTCAACGGTTTTCGCACCAAAAGATCAACATGCACCTTTAAAGGAAGTTCAAGATACCATCCTGCGCAATAAGTTCTCCGGCCACCACACAGCGTTTATCTCAGTGGATTTAAAGAGCGCCTTCGATACGCTGTGGTGGCGGCGTTCTATATGCATTAAGAGATGCCAATTGCCCCGCAATTTATATAATACTCTTGCACATTATCTGTCCGATCGACATTGATCATTTCCTATAATGGAGGCCTGGTACATAGATGTCGACTCGAGGGTGCCCCAGGGTTCATGTGCGAGCCCCTTTCTCTGGAATGTGACATACAATCTTCCTTAAGCAGCCATGGCCTGAACATACAACTGTGGTTACTTATGCCGTGATACCGCATTCATAGTGCGAGGTAGACTCGTGATCAACTTCAAGAAAACTCACAGGAGACCTGTTCTTTGTTTCAGACTAGATGTGAAGATTTTAAATTGCAATCTCTGAAGAGAAATCGCAATTCTGATCATTCCTAAGAAGGGTGGTTCTATGACTCGTCAGCCGAGAATCACCATAAATGGCAAGCGTCTTCGTATTAAACGTGAACTTAAATACCTTGAATTATTTTCGACGACAAACTCAATTGGATTCCTCATGTGTAGATCTCAAGAAGCGTACTGCTGTGATTGCTCACGCCTTAAACTATGAAGGAATCCACTGGGGCTAAATCCACATCTTCTTAAAGTTTTATATGCAACAGTAACTGAAAAGATTGTTTCGTATGGTGCTGCAATTTGGGCAGCACCAATGCAAGGACGCAAAGTCCGACATTTTAAATAGTATACAGAGACCATTTCCTAATCACTCGTGCTTCCGCCACACCAACTAACGCCTCGCAGTTGCAGCTGGAGTCTTGCCTTAACCTATTGCGGTTGAAAAGGACGCACTTATCAGTTGATTAGACAACTTGGCTGTTCAGTTCTTGGAGATCACTCTTTCTCCTCCCATGATTATGAAGCAGCAATAAACAGAGAAGATCAACACCCCTCCCTCTATGGTACGGGAGTTAAGTTAATCTCAAACCGAGTCATCAAGTGTTCTCATGCTGATCTGGTCTTTTATACTGATGGCTCTAAAATTGGAAGATCAGGTTGGCTGTGCATATATAGCCATACTGCAAGATCAGACAACTCTTCACCAGTGGAAATGCCATCTGTCTTCTTTTAACAGCGTCTTCCAGAGTGAGGCTATTGCTATTCGACAGCAATACAAACAATCATAAATCATCGATATTCACATTCCTATGTTCTTACCGATAGTCTCCCCCATTGTATGCCATTTTAAATCCTCTGCATTCATCCCCCATTATTGTGGACATTCAAACTAGCTTGTCTCGACATAAAATCTACACATTTGTTTAGAATGGACAAAAGCTCATGTGGGGAACTACGGTAATGAAACTGTCGATAGGCTTGCTAAAGAAGCAGCACAGAATCACGAGATAACACAGACCTTGACGGTTTCACGCCCAGTATCTAATCTAAAGCGTCACTTACTTCTCACAGCCATCTCCTGTGGCAAAATGCATGGAGTTCGGAGGAAACTGGTCGCCGAGCATTTGCCCATGTCCCTAAAGTAGATTTAGACCGATTAATCATGCCACCACAGCTGATCTTCTACATTACGGGCCACGGGCCTTTCCCTTATATTTCGAGAGAACATGGACTCTCTTCCTCAGCACTCTGTAGTTATGGACAACTGGGCAATCCAGAACACTATCTAATCGATTGTCCACTTACTACTGAATTCCATATTCCTTTTCACCAACGGATAGGACTGCCTTAGTCGTTTTTTGATTAAGCAACGGCATCATGTCAAAAAGATAGTCCGTTTAATTGACAAACTGATGAATCTGGGACTTGATCTTTGTGCCTTATAATATCGACATATGATTCAACTTCTTCAACTGCTTGTTATATAATAACCCATCTACTTTTATGCTCTGAAGTGTTTGTAACTTGAATCTATTGTAAATCCATCTGTTATAGTGCTGTGTATGCAGCAGTCAAATATTTGTATATTCTCTCTCAGCATCTTTTCTAAGGCAACCAGGTAATATTGTCTATAGCAGCTGTCCTTGCACCTATGGTACATTTACCAGGTGCTGTTAGTATGTATATCTTTGCATTTGCCTATTTACGATGAATAATAATGTTATCTTTTGCATATGCCACATTTATTATCAAGTGCTGTTAAATATCTGTATATATTGAATTTGCATATTTATCTGTTGATATGTATTGTCCTAATAGTCTCTTTGTTGTCCATAGAGCTATCAATGTACTTAGGTACATTTTTTTTTTACCAGGTGCTGTTAAATATCTGAATATATTAATCTGCATATTGACCTATGAACAATATGTTTTGTCTTTATTTTTATCTTTGCCCATGTATTATCAAACATATAACGGTCTGTATTCCCTCATAATGCACTATGATAATATCTACATTGAACGTATTTTGCGTTTTTTTCACTGTATAATAGTATATAAATATCTTGGCATACTAGTTGGGCGTAATTAATGATACATGTTTGCCAGTTGCTGTTAAACATCGGTATACATATACTTGCATATTGGCTATACATTATACTGTTACTGTCTTCTTTTCATCAATTGCCCATGTAATATCATACATTTAATTCTCTGTGTATAATAACACTGAAGTATTGGGGTCGCTAGATTTCATTGTATAATATATCCAACCTTATCCATTGTTTTAAATATATCCATTTATTTATACCAACATTGAATGATTTTTGTGTTTTTACGGTATAATATATGTTCATTTGTGGCTACTTAAGTCTATATTTCATCCTTTGCAAATGGTATAGTACACATTTAACTGTCTGCATCAATTTATTTGCTGCATAAGGATCACAAGTGTCATGACAATTTTAATGTATATTGTGTTACCAACACTGAATGTATTTTATATTTCGATTGTATAGTATTGTATAGTATCTACTGTATCTATCGTATTATGGTATTGTTTTTGTATTGTATAGTATCTTATATCAGTTGGCTTTATACAGGTTAAATATGTTAATTTTTATTCTTATATCGTTTAATTAGCTTTTGTATGTATTGTATTGTAGTATTGTATAGTATTGTATGGTATCTTATATAAGTTATCTTTTATGCAGGTAACTGCATCAATTTATTTGCTGCATTAGGATCACTGGTATCATGACATTTTAAATGTATTTTGGTGTCACAACAATGAATGTATTTTGTATTTCATCACTATGTCAGACAATTTTAAATGTATTTTTGTGTCACCAACACTGAATGTATTTGTATTTTCATGTATAGTATTGTATAGTATCTACTGTATCGTATTATTGTGGTATGTATCTACTGTATCGTATTGTATTGTGGTATGTAAGTATTGTATAGTATCTTATATCAGTTGGCTTTAGTACAGGTTAAATATGTTAATTTTTTCTTTGTATTGTATTGTATGTAATATTATATAGTATTGTATAGTATCTTATATCGTTAACTTTTATGCAGGCTAAATATGTTATTTTTATTCCTCATAATCGTATAATTAGCCTATTGTATGTTTTCCCACAATACCACGTGATCAAGTGTATTGTACCGCTATTGCATTCTGTTACATGTATTCTTTTATTTTTATTCTTTGGGTATATCCTCTGTGTATTGCTGTAATCATTTACATTCATTATTTCACTATGTTCTCTATTTTTTATGTTATATTGTCATTAAGTCTAATTCTACTGTCTATATTTTTCATTGTATATTATTGGGCTGCCCAACATCAGACTGTACTTTAGCTTATGTATATTCTATATTTGTGTGTATTACACCTTTGTAAAATTTTTGCTTATTGTCCAACTCGCCCTTTTTGGCCCTGCATGCTTTTGTGATTTATTTAATAAATGTGGGCCTGGGCGGTTGTTGGGACTGTCTTTCGTGGGCATTGGTCTGTTGGACTGCCCCCCGGGTGAATTTGGCTCTGGTGTTTGGCGCCCCAGCGCGTGGCGTCTTGTGATTCCTCTTTGGCTCTAGATATAGGTGGACGTGGTGCTATACCGATTAACCTTTTGGTAAAGGGACAGTGCCCACGTCCTCCGTTGCTTATCGCTTATCCTACTAAGCCGACGCCGTTCTCGCTCTGTATTCTGACTATCATTTTGAAATAAAGATCACTTACTGCTGCTTGCTGTCTCTGTCTTTTTCCAAATTTCATCACTTTCTGACCACTCCTTCTTGGTGTTGCATTTTCAATGTCGAGCAGTGTATTAAATATAATTTATCGTAAATATCATAATTATTTTAATTAATTAGCTAGTATAGTCTATAAATGATACACTAATTTCGTTAGTGATATATTGTAAAACTTTAATCTTAATTGAAACTTGTTATTTACTAATTAATGTTAAGAGAAAAAAAGATGCACTTAGCTGATCAATGTTTATTAATGTTTAACAATGTTTTTACTCAAAGCATTTTGTACAGTGAAGTTTCTGATTAATTTATAAAGTCTTTTAGGACTTTTCGAAGTCAGGAAGCTGAAGAAATGCACAGTGCCATCACCAGGATTCGAACTCCGGACCTCCCGAATACGCTTCGTGTGTGCTTCTGTTTACACTACGGCGTGCGGTAAGGAGGAAGCAAATACCTTACATACACCCCCTTTTAAAGAACGACTAGGGATGAGGGGACCCAATTACCAAATCCTGGTGGTAACAGATTATTGTCCACCACCTTTTAGTTCGGTCACCTCTTGTACAGTCTTTTAGAAATTTTCTTGTCAAGAAACTGAAGAAATCTGCACTGCCTTCTACGGAACTCGAACTTCGCGCCCCTCTCGAAGGCGATACATGTCGAGTGTGCTTCCAGTTACATGATGAAGGCAAGCGAAGAGGAGGTAGAAAATACCTTATAAATTTCATGAGTTGATTTATGTTGTTAATTTTAATGCTCATTCATTGTTACGCAAAATTTGAATTACATTGTAAAATAGAAACAATAAAATAATTGATCCACCTTTATTTAATCTTTATTTAATATTATTTATTTATTAGTTTACTCAGTTTAATCTTATCGTTAAGTCTAAAAATGTATATACAATTTAAAGTTGGAGTTATTCTCTATTTTTTAATCCTCCTATTCTCATTTCCATGCTGTTCATACCGCAGCGAGCTTTACGCCTTCTCTTATTCGGTAGAGAATCGGGGGGCTTATTTATTCAAGCAGAACATAGAACTGATTTTGGAGACTGCTTCAATGGTCTCATGTTGTTAGCATCGCACATTTATTCTTTAAGTAACCTCAATGCAGCTGAAAATGTGATTTATCTGTCCATAAACTCGCGTTATTCTACAGATGTCAAATTTTGACATTTTTGGAAATAGGAAAAGAAGTGTTCAAATTATGAAAAGTTAGCAAAGGCCTACCAGCTGGATCTTCTACAGCATAGGATCTGCAGCAGAACATTGACTCCGTTGCCCCTACTCTATTAAGCCGTATGTGAGAAATGCCCAATTGTTGCCTCTTTATCAATATGTACGAACTTAAATAGTCTGTTTGACCATCGTCATACGCGATGTCTGCTGTTTGTTCCATTAGGTGCAATTGCACCTGTATGTGGTACTTCTGTAGTATACTTAGTATAGTTGCCCATGAGAACTCTAGAACTCTAGGTTTTGCCACTTGCCAAGACAGACTCGTTCATCTGTATGGTGCGGAAAATGCGTCAGCAATCACATTTGCTAATATCTCCATATATACAAATTTTTTCTCAGTTGTGTTATGTTTCAAAAAAGTTCGGAGATTAACTTATTTAGAGTTTTGAGATGGTTCAGGAACTCTGTATTCTGCTCTGGCACTGTAAGCTATTTCTCATCTCTGATTTTTGGTAATATTTTTATCATTCGCCGTAGTTAACATGAATGAAAATCTCAATAATATTCCTAAAGAAAATGGGAAAAAAAAACTGTTAAATGAAACGAAAAATTGACCTATTATTTTCCTATTATCAAGGCCGTAAAAGCAATTTCGAATGGATGTCACTAAAAGTAAAAACTGAAACAAAATGTAATAAAATGTAATGTAGCAATATTAAAAACTTACGCAAATCTGATATTTTTCTGTCACCATTAAATTTATACTTTCAAATTATGTAAACATGAAATGCCTTGATTCTGCATAACATAGTATCTAAAGTTCGTAACTATGTCTGAGTAAAATGCTGTAACCCACCCTAATAGATTAAAAATGAGGTAAAAGCAATCTTTTTACTCTCTCGGCTTCCTAACCAAATCTCTCTTGATTTTATACGAAACATAAATATAATCATAAAATAAAATTAACTCGGATAATTCTCAAAGTATGAATTCAGTTTACGATTCCTGGGTAACTAAATGAAAGTTTTTCACCTTTCCGATCAAATAACTAAAACGTTAGTCAGTCCCGGATCTAGGGGGGGGGGCAAGCCGGGTTCTGTGCCCCGGGCGGCAACTTCTTAGGGCGGCAAATTCAAGAGTGGCGCTGAATTGTATTTGGAATGTTGTCAAATTTTGATGCAACTTTAGAAGTTTTAAAGCCAGGTTTAAAACCTATTCTAAGAATATTTATAATTAATTACTCGAAATCTTTTAATGGAGCAAACAGTTTTAAAAGTAAGCTAATTACAGTTGAACACGACTCTAAAGATAAGATCAGAGAGAGAACAATTGAGGGACGCCAGGCGTCACTGAAAAAGTCAAAGTACCCTGTCCCTCTGCCAACCCAACATGCAATTTTATTACAAAGGTACTCCGTAAACGCCTTGGTCTTTGAACCCTGTAAGTGACGCCTAAAGCAAAGAATCTATATATCTTTCCCTTCAACTTCTTTGCCTAGAGTCCTTCTGTTGTCCTCTCTTCTGGCGGGAATATTCAAATGAAAAACAGAACGATAGCATAGAGGCGCCTTGTTTTTATACCAACGCCTCTTTCGAAATAAATGGAGAAGCATTTTAAATTGTAACTCTTTCTTAACACCCAATACAAATTAACCTTGGACCAATGAAATAATTCAAATTAATGTACGTCGAGAATATACAACAGAAATGAAGTAAGGCATTTTGGATTTTTTGCAGCCAGTCGGCAACCTAGGTTTTAAAAATGGATTTATTTATTTTTTATAGTTTTTAAAGTTTTTTTAACATGGAGGGTTTTTTGGTGTCTCATTTTCTTTTAATATGCCTGCTTCTAGTATTCCTCACTATATTTAGCGAGACGCAATCACTTAGTTAGCGCGCGCGTCCGCGACGCGAATCTAATACTGTTGAATGTAATTACGTCAATTTTTAGATATTCTATTAAGGCAAGTTATACTGTATATTATTTAGGGTGCAAGAAATCATGAGAGGGTCTAGGAAAAATCTCTTAGGGGCAGAATATAGAACCAGAGCAAAAGACAGGACCGAACAGAGAAAACAAATTGCAGCTAAAATGAAAAATGGCTTCACGGAAAAGACGAACCGTCCGACCCTGCCGCAACTTCCGATGGTGCCGAGATTCTAAACGATATTGATATTTCTTGCAATTTGCATGACCAAGATGAAGAATCTTCATCTATCATCCTCAAACAGACTGCATTTCAGCAACTGATAGAACAACTTTCTTCATAGACCCCAAACTGACATCTAGAGCACGTGAAATTAGGATATAAAGTATTTTCTCATTTAGATGAGTGTGGGCAGCAGAACGAAGACTTAAAATCTTCTGATTTTCCGGACCCACGTAGTTCGCCAATCACAGAAAAAATGAACTATCAGCAACGATCTTTCTTACAGTCAAGCTGTATTATTAGCCGAAAAATATCCAGACAACGTAGACCTTAAGTACACTGAGCGTGAAGGAATACATTTGAGATCTTCACTGTGGCACAAAACATTAGCAAATAATGAAAGGCTTAAAATATCTTGGCTTATATATTCTAAAACTAAAAATACAATTTTTGTACACCCTGTGAGATTTATCAGAAACATGCCACTGTTGTTACATCAGCATTGTGTACTACATGATTCACTAATTTGAAAAAAACTTCAGAAAAGCTAACTGAGCACGAAATATCTGAAATCCCACAGAGAGTGCATGATTAAGTGAAAAATTCAACTAGAACAAATGAAACAGTGTCAGGGCATCATGGCATTAAGAGACTAATTCACACAGAGAAAGAAAAATGGAAAAGATCCTACAAGTGAGTATGGATGCTGTATTGTATCTTTCAACAAACTGTCTTTCTTTACGTGGGTCTGTTGAAACCCCTGGCAGTCTGCTCACAAAGTGTCCTCGGCCTAGTCAAGGCAATTTTTTGAATTTAATGACTCTGCTAGCCAAACATAACTCTTAAGTACCAGTTATAATACCTAAAGAAGGGACAAGTATCATATTTAACAAAGATAATTCAAAATGAAATTACTAAATTCTAATGACGAAAAGAGTTCGCAATAGCATTTTAAATGATATTAAAGAAGCCAAATATTACACAATAATGTTCGATTACATTCCAGATGTGTCGCATACAGAACAAATGAGGTAGGTGATTCAATACGTAAAAAATATGTGGTGATGTGTGTGAAATAAAGGAGAGCATTATTGATTTCATAGTTGGTGTTGGTGTATTTAATTATGGCAAAGCACACGAGGGCTATCTGCCTAAAGGGAGGGATGCCTTTCGTGGAGGACTTTCTAAGGGAAACTGGCTCGTATACACGTTACACATGGGGAAAACCACGAAAACGCCCATGCAGCCAGCCCGTTCGCGGGATTCGAACCTCAGACCGAACTACCAGTGTTCAGCGTCTTTACCGCTCGGCCGCTGGTGGGCCATTGATTTCATAGAAATTGGTGGAAAGACAGGAGAATGTATTTCTCAACGGATTGTGGAAAAACTGACACTTGATGGTTTGGATATTGACAATGTCGTGGTCAATTTGTGGATAACGGTCAATTTGTGGATAGCATGGCCGGTACTTACCGGCTATATTAGATCCTGGAGTACAAGCCAGGATTACAGAAATGAATAAGCTGGCCGAATATGTGCGATGTTTGGCTGACTCTTTGAATCTTGTCTGTGTGCTTTCTGCCTCGGCTTGCCCCGAAGCAGTTAACTTCTTTGGAATTATCCAGAAGATATTTAGCTTTTTTGTCGGATTCACTATTCGATGAGATATTACGAAAAGATGTCCAAAAACCAACTTAAAAGGAAGCAGCCAGACTAGATGGTCGTCAAAATATGTGGCTGTCAAAGCCCTTCTAACGAATTTACCAAAAGTAGTAAAATCCTTGAAAGAAATTTATTATCCTTCAAAGTAATATATTACTATTTCAAAATTAATTATCTATCAAAGTAAGAAGCAGGACATCTGCTATATATTGTAAAAAATTTTGAATTTATTATCAGCCTGACAATTTGGGCTAATATTCTTCGAGAAATCAATCGAATAAATACTGAAATTCAAATGGAAGATATTATTCTTGCGCGTTCCGTCGCATTAATGGAAGGTCTCACCAAAACTTTTCAAAAAATGAGAGAAATTCCTACGAAATATTGGATAGAAGAATTTAAAGCAGCAGTCGAAAAAATTGAGGTTGAACCTATTCTGACAAATAAACGAATTCTAAAACGCAAAAAGGAATTTGATGAATTGTGCGAGGACGAATCATCATCGTGTTCAGCTACTTTCTAATGCAATGAAAATTGTATTTGATCGAATCTTATCAGAAATTAAAACGAGGGTAAACAGGGCTATTACACTAAACTCAAATTTCCCTTTCTCAATGGTCGAGAAATATTGACTTTGTCAACTGAAGAACTGCAAAAGAATGGAGCAGATCTTGCACGAAAATATTAGCGAGATCTCTAAATGCATTTGAGTTTTGTCAGGAACTTGCCGTTTTTAAAGAACAAGCCCCAGTGTTATTCGTCCACATAAAAAAGGCGCGAGCTTTTTATCTCTCGCAACAGATCTACATCTATGATTCTCAGGATGCCTTTCACA